ATGGAACCTACTTTACATACACAGGATATAGATTTAGGGAATTGTTTGAGACACTGAGGATGATATTAGGCTCACAGCATTTTTAATTTTATCATTATGAGAAAGTTTTAGAAGTACTGTGGACATGATATCCTTGGTTCAGTTTCACTCCCTGACCATCAGAATGCATGTCCTTGAGGAAACTACATATTGTTACTTAGGGAGAAATACCTCTGTGAACACACTGAAAGAAAAATATACCACTCCTCTTAATCAGAGAGCAGCTCATTTATGCCAATTTTTTCTATTGAATAAGCAGAAGAATACAGCTGATTCTGAAATATGTGAATTAAGATAGTTCGTAGGGAACAGTGTTTACTTTGTGCCTTGATGCAATAAAAAATGGAAAAAACTACAATGGTTGCTTGTTAATGGGCTTATTGTATAATCATGGTAAATTATGTTACTGAATTATTTCCTAGAATCTCACTTAATCAATACCTGCCAAATAACTTTAAGATTATATCCAAAAGGTTTAATTTGTATGATTTACTTACTTTTATTTTCTAAACAATGGAGAGATCATCTCCAAATAAAACTTCCACATTGCTAATCTCTGTACATAATTTAGCGATGATCAGGATCCATTCATCAGAGAAATTTTAAAATTCTAAAAACACCCCTTGATTTCTTATCTGAGAAAAGCAATTAATGTAGGACTTTTCGTTGCCCAGTGGTCACAGACAGCCATTGAAATGAAGGCACTGTGTTTATTTAACATGGAAGAACTACCAAGAAAGAATCTGGAAAACCACAGTGCAAGAATCCTGTCAAAGTTTTCAAGTTGAGACATTAAAGCATGCAACAGACTGACATATTTCAGGGGGAAAGGGGGGAAAGAGATTAACCAAAGAACTTATATGCATATATGCATAACCCATGGACACAGATAATACTGCAGTGAAGGACTGGGGATGGGACGGGAGCAGGGTATAGGAGGCCTGGGGGGCAAACATCTCTAATACTCTCAACAGTAAAGCTAAATTAAAAAAAAAAAAACTTTTCAAGTATTTGCATATTGATTTAGGGGCATGGTTTAATTAGGTAAGATGATACTAACTCCCAAAACTAATATTATTATTTGGGTTAGCAGAAATAAAGCTAATTGTTGATACTGTTGTAAATTTATTTTGCTATTTCGTAGTCATCTAATACATCCGAGCACAACAGACACAGAGTGAGGAGCCTCTTTTTCCCTCCTTACCCACCTTACCCCTCTCCAGCTCATCAAATAGCTAACTGGTGTCAGCTATTTCTTTCCTCCTGCTTCTTTTCCTTCCTAATCAAGCATCGTTATATTCTTACACTACTTGTGTACTTACAGTGGTCTGAGATGTTAAATGATAATATAAAGGGTCGGGGTCACGGCAGGCACACTCAAAAGAGGTGATTCGAAGAATAAAAGCAGTTTACAAAGATATGGGTAGGATTAGTGGAAACCAACATGGGGCGGTGAGGCATCCTTGGACTAGCAGGAGCGAAAGTCATAACACCATCAGGCCTAATGGGAGACAGGAGAGGAAACAGCTCCTGCCACAGGGAGGGCTGCCAGCCCCTGGAGGGAGTGCTGCAGCTGAGGGAATGAGAAGGCGCCCAAACCGAAGGCATGCCGCCCGGCCCAAGCACAGGTGGGGGGATATGATGGCAGGGAGCAGACCCTCTAGCTCCCCTCTCCCAGCGCTCCCATCTCCTATTGGTGGGAGCAAACTCAGCGCCAAAGAGCCTGGTTAATGACCTCCACGGGTAGCTACCAGGGGCACAGATGAGCATGGAGATGGGTAGAAAATGAATCCAGCAAAAATAATATGGCCATTTTGTATGTCAGTCATTGGTACTAACTTTTATTGATATCAGTCAAAAACTTTTGGCGGTAGAACAATATACAACACAATAAGAGTATCTGAAAGACAGTAAATATTTGTAAAATGTCTGCTGAGTAAATAAAACTTAGGCTGGGCTGTTAGCACTATGCTAAAGTTAGGTGACTTGGATCAAGTCTAGAAATGATTCTTACTTAAACTCCTAGCAATGAAGGCAATATCTACTACCGTAGCCTCTTGGCGAAGGTTTGTTAATTAAATAGATAGTTGGATGGACATGGATGCATGGATGGACAGATGGATGCGGAGATGGCTCATAAAGGTTTACAGACATAAAATTCCTTGACTGTAATCTAGTCCTGCCCTTCCATTTTGCAGATGAATTAATGGAATTTCAAACTGCTTTAAAGCACAATACTACAGAATTAGAACCCAAATCTCATGGCTCTCGGGTTTTCTAACTATAATATGCTATCTGTCATTTACCATTTAAAATTTGTTCTGCTCAAACCAGTCGATTACTGATAACCCCCTCCCCCCAAAAAAGAACAAGAATCACCTTACAGAGCATGCCTGATCCATGACCCCTGGCGTAGGCCTACCTTACTAGCCACACCGCTGAAACAACTTGGAGGAGTCCACCTGTCTCTGTGCAACTTATATGGGCAATTTAACCAGCACCTACAGGAAGCATTTGAGAATGTAGGTCCCCAGACCTAATGGCATTTAGAAATTTTCACTACTCAATCTGAAAATATATATACTTGTCTTAATATCATCATTCGATTAAATCTTCATCTTGTTTTTATGAAAGTACAATAAGAATAAGCTGAATCCATGCCAAATTTAAAAGTAAATTTAGCATTCCCCCAAATATAGTCACCATTCTCCATTTCAGAGACCTTTAACATTCTCATTAATGAAATACAAAGTATCCATTTCTCAGTCCTAATTAACATTAGTGTTTTTAGTTCCCTATTGACATTAAAAAACATGCCTTAAAAAAAGTGAAACCCTTCTCAACAATACTATGCTTATGCGTGGCAATTACCCGCATGTGCTATGAAGATGACTTTATTCTATTGGGATATTTATTGCCTATATTTCATTCTTTTTAAACACTGGAAAATTTAGACGCAGACACTGTTTAGCACCATTACTTTTCCCCTTCATTTCAGTGATTTAAATGCAAGGCATAAAACTCAATTTCATGACTTTAACCATATTACCTATATAAAATATTTAAAAGCTTATTTTTGTAGCCAGAAGCTATGTTGGAAATATTATCTGAATTTACCTTTTAATAGATAATTCCAGAAAGATCAAATTACTTGTCCAAGGTCACACAACTGGTTTGTGGCAGAGAGAGAACTAAAATTAGAAGTTTCAATTTCCTTAAAATTATGTTCATCTGTAGCACATGAATACGTTTTGGAGAATAAACACTGTTGAAACCTTGGACTTCACATCCAGGTAAAACCCTGTTTACCGCAATGTTTGGAGTCCAAACATGTCAATCCACTAAAATGCAGAGCTACACTGTTGCAGATAAGGAGTTCGGGAAGCTGGCTGCGGGATACAAACCCTTCTCGGGTTCTAGCGTGGTTGGTACCACGTAGTGGTGCTTTTTCTCTCTGGCCTAACGGGGAAGGGGCCAATTTGGGGTTCTGGGGCTTGGCTCCAGACCAGCAGAATCTCCAGCTCAGTGCCCACTTAGTCAGCCTGGTTTGGGAATATACGAGGGCTGTGGGGACCCACGGTCCGCCTCCTGCTTCCTAG